CAAGTGGGGAAACAATGACTGCCGAAAGCCGGGATATCAATGGTTTCGAGTTCGAATGGACGTGCGGTACGCTCTTTTGGTCTTCTCTTGCTTAAGTTTCTGATTAGATGTTTGCAACAAAACCTAACTGTCGCAGTGGTAGTGAGTATTAATTGTTTGATTTTAGCAATAGCTACGATGGTTTCCAATCACGAAACCAAATCCTATCATTGTTCAGGATTGCTTTTCACTCGCCGCGAGAAATATGTCATTGTCAAATTACTGGAGACTTCTGTGTAGACTTTTTCATACCAAGATCGAGCACATATGCTCACTTTAAAAGATGGCAAACTTTTTGCTGTGAGCTGTTTATTTGGCACTGTTGTCAGCGATTAACGTCTGTTCGCGAGGAGTGAAAATATGAGCCTAAATATTTTTCGATTAACTGAGGATGAGCGATAGAGCGATCCGCTCTGGTTTCCCGTTTCGTTTAGCAGTGACTCACTCCTAAATTTAAGTGATAATATTAAAAACGAATGGGCAGGTTCTCGATGAAGACTCAATACCAAAGAGCTGAGCTGTTTTTCTTGATATTCATGGCTTAGTTTCCTTTAGTTGCAATTAAGACACCGTCGTCGGTCTTTACTTATATGCTTACCTATATAATCAAATTTGCAAGGACGCATATCATCACCTTCGTCGCACGTAACCTTAACGTTTTATCCTGTTTTGTTGTTCATTTCTTTGTTTCTCGTGTGCAAAACAGTGAGAAATTTCGTCTGTATTTTCTACTGTCTGTTGAATAAAAATGAACGCAAAAGGACAAGCATTGCATATTTTTTGTGTATGTGTCACTTTCGTTGCTTTGCTAGGTTTCTGCTGCTTTGCTGCTGGTCTCGCTTTTCAGTGCTGGCTTGTGTGCGTTTCAACGCACATTAACCAGCATTGAAATGCGAAAACCAGCCGCAAACCGAGCAAAAAAAAAAAAAAAAAAAAAAAGCTACAATATATATATTTTTAACTCTAGGTGGCGCAAGCTACCGCCCGTCCATCCGAACACAATGGCGCTGCCGTGCAGTTTCGGTTTTGGTTTCGCTGTGCCGCCATGTTGATTTTAGTACAGCCACCAGATACCAGGGGATTCAAATGGCGCTGCGGCCTCCCAGGGTTTTCCAATTTGCGTTCCATGGGCGGTATAGGAAGTTGCACTCCTCTGAAGGAACCAGACAAAATCCTGCCTTCCCGTCGAAACGCCGCGACTGGGGCTGTACCAAAAGAGTGGAGAAAGGTTTGAAGGTCAGTTTTCATGTGCTCGGTTCGTCCGAGAACGTGGATATCTGCCGTGAAAAGGAAAACCAGACGCCGTCGGACCACGATTGCTTGGGCGGGAAGCACTTTGGGTTGAATTCACAGATACTTGTGGTCATCAGATTTATTTGTTTTGTTCCAACATGAACGCCGGAAAACCGTCAAGTTGTACGGACCACCTGCGGACTACGTTCAGTTCGTCTTCAAGTTCAAACGGCCGCCTGATCGTTCGAATTGTTGTCTGCTCTTTCAAACGTCTCTGCTTGTCGCCTGCTCTTTTAGACGACACCGGCCCGTAGATCAAATGTTGGCCCGGTACTTGCAATAAGAAGTAAGTGCAGGCCTTAAAAGACTTAAGCTTGAAGGTTGGTAAGCAGGCTCGATGTAAACAGTAGATACAATGAGACGTTGATCATTGTTACCAATGGCCACCACCGACTTGTTATGCCTGATTCACTTGGTCTGATTCTGCTTGCGATTTTCAGTATCAACGTCGACCACCTCAGCTACGGTTCACACTTTTGCAGCCCGAGCAACGTCGCTATTGAAAATTGCGAGCGGAATCTCATGCGAGTCAGGCTTTAGCGTCCATCCTGCGGCGTCCAAGCGGAATGAATCGCCGCATGTCACATTATTCACGCGAAGTTTTGCGGTGTAACGAGCCTCGGTAATTTCCCCGAGGCCACTCAAGTATTCAGACATTGCCCAGGAAGACCTAGAATCAACAATTCGAACGCGAAAAAGGGCAGGGGGACTCACAGCAACGCCGACAACATCGCATTTCAATGGTTTGTTTACGGGTGACGGCGAGCTTCTTGCCCACACTCCATCGCGCATGTGCGGCGCCGGTGACGTCCGCTAGGGGCGCTCCGGTTTGTTTGTAAACATGAGTTGGTGTATATGAAGCGTAGAGGCAATAAAGTTTTTAGCTGAGTTTGAGACATTGTCTGTCCCTTTTTCTTCCTCCTTCACGAGTTTCCGTTTTTTCAAACCATATCCTCAGGTTTTAAACATCATGTATAACAAAAAAAATAAATTGTTTTTCTTTTTTCGTGAAGGCCGCCACGTTGAATATTGATATGACTGGGTTTGTGGCAAAATGCATAACTTTATTTGCGATTGAAAGACATTAGAAATCAAGGAGTTTCGTGGCACTAGATCTCTTTCTTTTTTTTTTTTCGGTTGATCTTATTTTTGTTCGAACAATCTACTTTATTTTCGTCGACGAGCCCAACTACATCATATTTCAACATGGATGAATTCGTATTAAAACTTAGACTGGCCGTCAGTTTACGCAAGCTGAAAGGTTTATACGATCAGTTCTAAAGTTTTTATTCGGTTTAAGATAACCATTATAGGCTACCTATAGCTATAGAGCTCACGGCGTTAAAGTGAATTCGGACAGCTCAATCCGGGACTTGGGTTCCCGCGCTGCTCAGCACGATATGAGGCCTTAGTTACTCCTAAAGGACAAATACGGCACCGTATATCGACCCTACTTTGCGTCATATACGCTCGTGAAGGATTACTTTTAATGCGCACGTTCGAAGGGCTCGGTTCTTGCGGCTTCGTTTTTACGGTCACGGCTCACGATAACGACGCCGTAAAGGAGCGGCGCTGAATGAAGTTGGCGCTTCGTCCTCCCGGTGGCTTTGACGCGGAACTCATGCAGCCCGAGTTTACGAGGTTATGGAAGCGAGCGATGGCGTGACTTCTGTCTTCGCTTCCGCGGCGCCCATTTTTACACGCCGCTGGTATCGGCGGGCCGCGACTGTTTGCACTGCGGAACATCCGCCCGGTAATCGAGTCGGTGTAATACCGTGAAGCGTCCGCCCAGCGTGAGGCTCTTAATAAACCACGCCCGGCCATAAACGGAACCACCGGCTCGCTTGCGGTCGCGGGATGCCGCCGTCAATATGGTAATCCAACTGGTGTAATATACCTCTGCCAGTACAAACTGGGAGGGTCCGCGCTCTACGCTTATAGAAACATCTGTGCGATCGGCAACAACAAATGAGAAATCACTGCTTTAAAATTTAGGTTGCAAAAGCTACATTGTGTTTCGCCACCGACTTGAGATGTAAGACACACAGAGCTAACTGTCTCAGTTTGATTTAGTGAACGAGCGTAGGTGGACCTTAGAATACTTAACCCTCGTATGACTGATTTAGGTGAAGGTTTGTTTTTTCTTTCACTTTTAATGCCCTGGTCAGACGGGCTAATTTAGTGCACTTCAAAGGAGTGCACTTCGCCTTTAGTGTCGTTTGTGCAGCGTGCCACGCGGCTTTCTACTCAAGAACACACTGGGCTTGAAGTGAATTTGCTTCTTCTTTAATAAAGAAGAAGCAAATTCATCTTTATCTTCCTTATCCTGGCTCGTGATGATTGATCAGAACCATCGAGTTGGCGTTAATATTGTCAATTAACGTAACGTTGTGGCGTAACGTGCCTTCATTAAAAACGGAATAAATATTGCCGAGACATCTATGCCTTTATTTAGCATTTTAGGTGTCCCATAGCCCTTTACCCATCGTTATATTTTCATCATTGCCAAGTGACACTAATTAATCCCGTGTGGCACTGAAACACTTGAAATGATTTTCGGTGAGCTGAAATGAAGTGCACTAAATTAGACCGTCTTACTGGGGTATAAAATATCATTTGTGGAGAACCATCCAGTTGATTGTTTTTTTTTAAAACTTTTTTCTAAAAGTAACAAAACTTTGTGAGAACAGTTTTTTTTTTCAGTTGCAACATATTTGAAGTACTTTTTATAATCTGTTCCGCTTACCAAGGGACTTTTGACGGTCGCAGTAACTGTACTTTAAGCCGTATTTATATATATGAATGAATAAAACATGTTATCACCTCATGTAAGAATGTTTTAAGCTATATAGAGGTGGCTCGAAATACCGGAAACCAAGAAAACTCTCTCGAATGATTTTTTCCTACACGATGCAATTTCAGTATTCTCTTTTGAATTTCTTGGTTGGCCCGATACTTTAGAGTCATAATTATCCTGTCCTTTTTTTTTTTTTTTTATTAAATGTGGTCGAAGAAAGGAAGATATAGAAACATAATTTCTTGTTTTTTAGCTTTTTGTGGCCTTCTTCATAAAACCATGTCGGGTTCGCACATCTCACTTCTGTCATATCTTCAGTAAAATGTCATATGTGATGCTACCTCGACGTGCATTGCATAATTTGTCAAAATTTTTAGTTGTGAACACAGTAACTAACCAGGAAACAAACAAGTTTTTCCCAATTCTTCAGTGAACGACCGTGTTTTCTATCAGCTTCTACTTAAGGTTTCAACAAACCGGAACCATCCTACCCAGTGTTTAACTTATACATTACGTACAGTACATTTTCAACTCGGGCGACCTTGAAAGATGGACAAATATATAGAAGAGACAAATGAAATCTACGCAGTGCCAACAGGCCAACATCATTAACACCCGGCGCCTTGATGTCCGTCAAGAAAAATTAAAATAATTATCGTAGAAGAGTTTGCGATGGTAATTCGACGAATGACGTTATTTCGAATACCTCTCTCCAGGCTCCCGAACCTACTGTCACGTTTCGATCACCACGCATCTTGGAACAGTAACAACCCAAAAAGCGGCGAAGATACCGAAGCAAATACTTTCACTCGCTTCAAAAAAAAAAAAAAAAAGCGGCATCGCTGGCGGGATTGAAACCGTGCGCACTCACCTTAGGCCGGCAGCACCACGGAGTTGCTTATCCCTGTCCACGTCCGCGCCTCCCTTTTCCCCGGTATCGACGAGAGCCCACGGTACACGAGCACGAGGAGACGACGGGCAGAGATGCACGTCGACGACGACGCAGCACCGGGGCGGCCGCACATCGGCACGGGGGGAGCAAATCCTATGGCACGCGGAAGGCCACCACCGCATTCATCCGGGCGCCGGCGAAACTCCCCGATGCAGCACCCTGAAGAAGGAGCCGCCGCCGCGCTTGATGCCGTGCAGCGCGCCGAAGACGAAGCGATGCCGCTCTGCGAGCCGGCAGGGAGAAGATCGCTTGGCCCCCCCCCCGTCCTCTTGGTGGCCCTCGCGTGGCGGGACGACGTCACTTCCGCAGTTGCCGAAATCCAGTCGGGTCGCTCGTGTGCCGCGGTTGGCCCCGTGGTGTGTTCATCGTTCGTTTATGCTTCTCTTTTTTTGTTGCTTTCTTCTGGGCGTACCTTCCTCGGATTGCTCGGGGAAGTGGCGGCGGCTCGAGTCTTCCTGGCACCGCAGGTGGCATTGCCCGTGGCGCCGGACCATGGGGCATCGGGAACGTCAGGCACCAGTCGTTACCGTGGCGTCTCCCCTCCCCGTAAATGTCGGCTATTAATGAGGGGAGCGGAAGGGGTGGCTGGTGCTGGACTGTGGGGGTCGTTAGCGCGTCAGAAAGGTGGTCCGTTCCGGTGCTCAAAGAGCGGAACGTGTGCGGGGTTGTACTCCGCTCACCCGTAAGCTGACAGTGAGGTGGAAGCTATGGATGTTCGTTGGAACAGTCGTGCGTCTGTACTTCGTCATCACGGTTATGTCCATACACACGCGCAAAGAGCGGGGTCAGGTGATGAAGGACGGGCGCTTGATGGGTCCGCCAGCACCTTGCTCCCACATCGCACTGTCAGCTAGGGGCTGAACGGACGAAATGGAGGAAGCGGAGAGAAGACAACCTTCCAAACTATACTACTTTCGTGTTTGTTGGTATAACGGAGTTCTGAAAGACAGCATGAAGGGCAGGGCACTCGACTTCCATTGACCTTGAAAAGAAGCTGTGGTGCTGCAAAGTAGCCGCTAGTTTTATACGGACACGAGGCCTTGAAAAAAAAAAAGACAAAATTAAAAACAAGAAGCTTTCTGGGTGGTTTTTAATCCTGTAGGCGCGACTCTGATTACCAACAACTACCAATGGCAAAGCGGGGTCTGCCATTGCGCCGTACAAGACACACCCGGGCCGCGTGCTCAAGAAATTGGCCGCAATGAAGAAACTCTAAAAAAGAGTGCGGTATTAGAAAAACACGAACACCTAAGGTTTGCGATTCAAATTCAAACAAAATTCCGTTTTTCTGTTTGTTTTGCAGAAAAATGAACACAAAAAATATTGCCAGATAAACCCCGAAATACGCATTTCTTTTACATATCTTGATGGTGAACTAATGTATAAAAAGTTACGCTTTATATATTTATTTATCTTATTTATTTATTTCAGTACCCTCAGGGTCTGCAGGCAATCACGAGACTATTTTTAAGATGTCCCATTCCCTGATTTTTTTTTTAAAGCAAAATATGTATCCTTCCAACGTCAAGCATATTCAATCCTCCTACAATCAAGATTATACTACCCATTTTATTCTCATTTCTTGCTACGAAAACATCCCCGGAACGGAATTCCCCGGAATGAAATTGGAATGAAATGAAGGTGCCCGTTCCGCAAGACTGCTAACGATGCCACCGACACAAGTGCAAGCGTGGAATTATTTTAATTGTTGCAAAAACATTTTTTATGCGCAAAAGTATTGGGTTTTAACTTTTACGGTTGTTGTAGGCGTATATTGTACTCGACTAAACCCATCCCCTTTACGCCGATTATTACAGAACAAATCGTAAGGGTGAACGGACGAAATGTCAGCTAAGGGGTAAACGGACGAAATGGAGGAAGCGGAAAGAAGACAACCTTCCAAACTATACTACTATAACTATACTATAACTCAGGTTAATTCAACACGATTATTACAGTTCACATTTTTTTTTAGAAACTCAGACTTTATACTCCGGGACAGTGGCGTACGCAGGATTTCATTTCGCGGGGGGCCGGACCAATGAGAGTAAAGGGGGACAAGATAGAAAGAAAAGAAAGTACAAGAGAAAATAAAAGCATGTTCATTTTTTATCTAATAACTATGCATTCTTCTATTAAGTAATTAAAATAAAGTTGTCATATTGGTTTTGGGATGATTATGATACATAAAAATAATGCCCCGGAAATTCCCCACCAGGAAGGCATTTGCATTCTACTTTTTTTTTTATTTACAAGTCACGTCAAAAGAAGGCACCAGAGTAAGCAGAAAACAAGAGTCATAAAAACAAATATTTTATGAAGCACGGCTCCAATGCACAAAGCCTCCAGTCATCGGGGCAGATAAAACAATGATGCATAAGTAGAAACGCGGAACATCTTGGTGGATAGACGATAACCACTGGAAAGCTGCTTCACCATAAAGTACTCCCTATCTTAACCTGATCTAACCAACAAAAATTTCACGTGAGTTGTTCGTTGGTGTCGATTTCTAAGGTTTCCGAAGTCCGCTCACAAAAGAAAGTCAGGGAAGTCACACAACGCAACAAAGGGACGATGTAAAATGGTTTAACTCGCATATTGCACTTGGCTCTCGTCCTGAGGCAGCAGGTCGCACACTCGCGCCCCTATCTCGCGCGGTTCTCAAACTGCCGATGACAACTTCCGTACTCGAACCTTGAACCACAAATCCCGCGCCTTTAGGCGCCTATATTCACTTTTCTAAGACTTTTCCCGCCATCCGAGGAGCCAATCAGATATCGCTCTTTTTAGACCAATGGGAGCCACGTGGTACAAAACAAACACATACAATACAAAATCCAATTAAGGAAGGACACGTGCACAGACCCCCGAAAACTCCTAAAAACCTTCGCCCTAACTGTCGACCGTCAGCCGGACACCGCTTCAAGGAAAAACCCCTCGTCGGGGTGCAAGAGCAGTACCGACACTTCTTCTCAAAATAAAGAAAAAAAAAGGCTACAAAACATCGAGGGGCCCCGCTGCGCTCGAGCGAGGCACAGCGCATGGTACGCACCCAGAGCGGGGTCCTCGAGGAACAATTAAGACAGGGGACACGGGGGCCGCTCCGTGGCGACGACAAACCAGCCCTGGCGGCTCCGCGAGAGGGACATGGGGCACTCGCAAAACAATAAAAGTAGAAGTAAAGAAAGATATTAGTTAACTGATTATTTTCCAGTCATATTAGATAAAAAACGTTAAAACTACAGATTTTTTTATTATCTTTACTACGCCATAAATGGCATATTGCATTCCCTTCCTTTTTTATTTCCTTTTGTTTACAATTTCTCCACGAAGTTTGATATTGATAAACCCGAGAGTCAGTAACCTCGCCGACTCCCCCCCTCCCCCCCCCCCTCGGAAATTTCGGGGGGGGGGGGAGGGGGCCCTTCGGCCCCCCTCCCCCCCCCCCCCCCCTTCCCCTTTCCGGGACAAGGCAGCGAAGGCGACACCCTTATTTGCTTTGAAATTTGATTTATGCCTTTCTAGCCCGTTCCGAAAACGCATGTTTTAAACCCGCGATTATGTTGCTCATCTTCGAACTCGTTTGCTTACAAATGCAAGTGTTCGCACAACGACGACAACAACAATGTAACTTGATATTATAGATGCAGGAAAAGTCAACATAAACAAACTTCTGATAACGAAAAGTTAAAGAAATAAAAGCATATCAAAGATAACTACTCTTTCAATATAACCTAGAGCAAAATCAAACTCTCCCTTCGGGTCTATAATGTACAACTACAAAAAAGTCACCATATTTGCATTTTTTTCTTCAAATATTTGTTACTGTTTTTTTCTTTTTTTCTTTCAGCTATCTCCGCGGGCAGTCCTGATTCCTGGGAGAAGCCCGTTTCTTTGTGGCATCTGTATTTAGGGTTCAGCCTTGAATGAAGATAATCGAGTAAAAATAAAATACACAAGCTGCGTCTCGGTCGAACGAACTTCTTTCGCCGGAGAAGCCTCTTTGTCTCTGCTCAATGCGGGTCTAACGAGTTTGCGTGTGGTCGCGATTCGTCCACGATCAGACAGCGCAGAACGCCGGCGCTAGTGAGTTTTGCACTCGGGTAACGCGCACATACAAAACATCACGACGCACACATAAACGTACACAAAAAAGAAAATAAAACACGATCGAATTGCCAGATAGATGACGAAAACCTGTCTCACCGGGCATGCATGTACAAGGAACATTGCTCGCCGTCATAATAAAATCGGCTTTTTCACCACTCGGGTCATCAGTCTTCGCAGCACCGCCCATTTCGCGAACTTGTTATATTGTGGTCAGTTTGTGACGTTCGAGTTGAAACACTTGGAGGACGCTTAAGCTTCGCCTTTAAGAGTGGAACGCGATAGTGTCATCGGACAGAGTTCGAATCGCCTTCTCATTTGCCGTGCAAGCGTGCCTTGTGTGGCCTAAAGTCAGCAGCGTGTCTGGCTCGTAACCGAAGAGTTGCGACGTGCAATCATTTGACGCATGCAGCGACCTTTCATTTGCATTACATGTCACGTTTTCATCGCTTTCATTCCACGCGTGACGTCACGTTCCACGTGAGCGTCGTGGGTTGTTCGGAATTCCCGCGCGAGGTCATGGGGCTGTGACGTCACGACCCTATCGACCAATCAGGATTTTCCCGTCACGCCACTGATGCCGACTTTTCTGCGGCACGACCTTCTTAACGCTGTCGCGTTAATAATAATAATAATAATGATAATAATAATAACAATAATAAAGTGTCCATTTCCCACACTGTCCTGGCAGTACAGGCGAAGGCAGCGGTAACACGAATGTATTGGGCGCTGCTTCGCGGTGTCGTTAACTTGGTGCGGGTTACGAGCCTCAACGGCACAAACTTCGGCGTGCGTCTATGAAAGAAAACTGCCATATCCAGAGTTCACTGACAGCTGATGAAACGAATGGTGTGGTGATGAGTCCCGAGCATCTCATTAGCGCTCCGTAGCCAATGAGATATCAGCAATCGCCGATAAGAAGACCGAAGAACCAATGAGAAAGCAAGAAGCGTGAACCTTACGAGCCACACCCTTCTAAAGCTGTCCGGTGACTACAGTGGCGGTGGAATGGAACGCGAAGTTCGCGTCTTTCGTGGTCGCGTGCGCCCCTCATTCGAGCCTACATGCTATGCGGAGCGCAAGTTTGTCTGCTTCTTTTG